TTAATTATTATTAATTATTAATTATATAATTATTATTGAAATACTAATACTTATTGATATAATTATTCGAAATACTTATTCACATCGATTAATAAGAGGATATCATTTTCAATAATTAAATCTCCGTTTTCCAAATGATATGGAACATGATGTCCCACAACTGGATCAATGAGAGATGTTACGGTAGTTTCGTTTTGTTCCATCTTTCGTTCACTTTCGCCCATATTACTTCCCGCTAAAATAGTGGGATGGATTTACTCTGTTAACCTCTGAAAATTCAGAGGTTGAAAAAGTTATTCTAGAGCACAACCCAATGACTTTACTCGATATTTCCGAACGCAATTGGTAAGTCAGTTTTGTACGACCCAGTTAATTTCCGAACGGCGGTTGGTAAGATTTCTACTGCGAGTAGGATTTCCGAACGCACCCATAGTGGTGAAGTCACTAAACTGGGTTTCTAACCTAATCTACGTTTTGCGCGCGTAAATTCAGCCCTTCTGTTTTCGGACATTCAGATCAATTCAGATTTATCGAAAAGCTGAACTTGGCTGAATTTCAGTCTCTTGAGTTTCATTTACGTTTTTTCGGTGATTGTCATTTGTAATCATGTGGAATAACGAAACTTCCATGGGTGAAGGTGGATTTATGAACGATAGCATGCAGGGTACTGGTACCGGCAAGAAAGGGCCACAAAATGACAAGACTATTGTTCCTGTATTAATAAAACATATCACATCCACCACAGGAGATCTGCAAATCGCCGGCAGAACTGTAAACGTTTTGTCAATTGTTGGAATCATACGTCAAATTGAGCAAGATACGACAAAAATTTCATTTGATATCCAGGATGATACAGGTGTTTTATTTATGCTGTTTTTATCTTAACGATAATCATGTACAATTACAAAATGCAAAATGTTTTGACAAATTGATACTTCATCTTCTGAATAAATTTTTATGCATTTGTATACAATGATAATATCTTTAATTAAGTTTTTATTTTTATATCTATGTATTTAAACCATATTTGTTATCATAAATAGAAAACATGGTCTTGTATGTACAAATCATAAAATTTCTGTATAATTAGAAAATCTTAAAAATATATATAATAATTTCTATGATTTAAATTTTTAACTTATTTTTATTGTTAGAAAACAAAAAATTTACTTAAATGTCGTTTTGTATAGGTACTCTCACAGCTATTATGTGGCTAGAAGCAGATAAGAATCCTGCTGAAAGTAACACTTGTACACAAATCAATACATATGTGCGAGTTTATGGACTGATACGCACACAAAATAATCAACGACATGTCTTGATTCTACGTATGTATCCTCTGGAGGATTTGAACGATTTGACATGTCATTTTATGGAGGTTATGTATGTCATACTGAAGGCTAGCAAACCTGCGGAAGAAACCAGTTTACCTTCCAATAATTCATTAATGGTTGATAATACAATGAGTGGCATGTCACCTGAACAAGCGGCAGTTCTTGAGGTGGTTCGATCAGCAAATGAAGCTGAATGTGGTATTGAAAAACGAGATATTTTGGCACAAGTACCAAAATACATTATATCTCGTTTAGATGAGATATTAAATTTTCTTCTCTGCGAAGGACATATTTATACAACCAGTTCAGAGGATTTCTTTAAAGCTACCTAAATCATATGTTACTCTTAAAAAGTTCATTAATGTTAAATTTATTTAAATATAACAATTTTTTCATATTAAATATGTAATTTTTGTAACATATTATGTTACATTTATTATGTAATTTATTCTCTCTGTAGATAAATCGGTAGAGATTGGAGAAAAATAATTTTTTTTCTTTTGTATAAACAAATTAACATCAATAATTTGTTTTAAACATGCCAATGTATTTTTGTTAAGCTTAAAGCACCTTAATAATAAAATGTTTAATAAAGAATATCTTATAAAATTTCTACTTTTTTAATTGTAAATATGTAATAAATACAAAGAAAAACCCCCTGCTGATGTGTCCAACTTAGGGTACATTTACGAAGACGTTATTAGTGCTCTATGTCATGTCCTTTTTCATCTAACGAGTGATGAAAATAGAATGATAGTAATTTTTTTAATAGCGTTTTTAATAGCGAATGTACTCTGGGATCTGCACATCTCTCCATAAAGACCCGTCTACAATACACGGAGTAAGAAGTAAGAGTAAGAAATTGACCAATCACAGTCGATTATTCTTCTCACATTCG